GACAGAACTGTTCTTGAGAGAGACGTGGATATCCCCAAAGAAAAGGTAAAATGAAATTTTGGTCTTTTGCATGGTGATCTCCTGTATTAAAATCCTCTACATAGAGTTTCTCAATGTTTTTGCTTTAAGTGGCCTTGGTTGGACTCTTCAGAGAAGGTTTTGCAATAAAATGAATTGAACCTCGGCACTCAGCACAAAAATGTCTTCTGGTCACTGTGTGTTATTGACCAAGTGTCAGGTCAGGATTGGTGGATACTGACCAAGACAAATTTATGTGTAAGAGGGTTAGTTTGTGCAAACAGTTTTTGTTTTACATATTAAGCATAGAACTGCTGCAGTGCAACCTAAAGTTTGATTGTGTTACTCATTGCAGGCTGTGGAGTTTGTAGAGGCCAGTATTGATCATATCAACTGTTATTCCAAGGAACTGAGGCGACTCTTCCTAGTAGAGGATATTGTTGACTCCATCAAGGTATATGATAGAATGTCAAGTGTGCTCTTATGTCTGCCATTCTTTTATAGTAGCTCCTTAATGAATTGATAAAATTCAAGATGAATTGAGCCCAGATCATTTTAACAATGATTTAAGCAAAGACTTATTCATTGCTATGTAAAGGAAACAGAGGTTATTCTTGACTTAATGTGGCTTTTGAAAATGGCTTCTGAACTGTAGTGTAAATACGGCTTAAGGCAGATGAGTCAGCTTCTTTACTTAGTGGCCAATGGTTGTAATTTTTTGCAGTTTGGACTTTTGTTGTGGGTTTTATCCTATGTTGGAGCTTGGTTCAGTGCCTTAACTCTCATCATTATCGGTGGGTACCTTCAATACAAGTCATTTTATCAGTGAGTGTGTGAGTGAGTGAATGAGTCAGTGATCAAGTTGGTTAGAGAGTGAATCAGGAAGTCAGTGAATGAGTCAGTGATTTAGTTGGTGAGTGAGGGAGTGGGTCAGTTGGTCAGTGGGTACGTTAGTGAAGTAGTCAACAGTAATTGTGCAGTTACTGAGTTCATCATCCAGTCATTCCTTCTGTATCATTATTTCCTGGTGATTTCCTTGACAGGTGTTATTGTCCTATTCTCTGTGCCTCGCTTGTATGAAGATCATCAGGTGCGTAATAAAATTGAGCAATGATTAGGAATTCATATCTCTGTATCTCGTTTGATTTAAGAGAATTTTTTATGTTGAAATTGATAAGAAGTACATTTTTTCCCCTTACTTAGTGTTTGTTTTCACTTTCAGGATAAGGTTGATGAGTACGTCCAATTGGCTCGAAAGAAAGTTGGAAGCCTCATTGAACAGTAAGTTGTTGTTGCTTTTTTAGCAGTGTTATTCAACAATAATTTACCAAATTAGTGAATATTGGTGGATATTTAACAAGCCATGAATTAGCAAGGTAGATGTCCACCACTTTTACTGATACTGAGGTGAATAATTGTCTCACTATATAGCACACAGTAACCAAAATATTAGTTTATTTTTGTCCATATTCTGAAAAGCAGTTAGAAATTACACTCGTGACTTACAATTTTGTCCCTTCTGAATTAGCAAATAGCACTATTTCCTGCAAGGTATTTACCAGCAATGCTTATTAACAATTTTTTTTTAAAGGGACTTGAATGTTCACTGTGGATGGACACTTGACCTGTTTGACCATAATTTTCACATTTTGTATCTTTCAGGGCAAAGTCCAAGCTGCCTGCTAAACTGCAAAAGCAGAAAGCTTCATAAACACCAAAACTCCAGTTCATGGAATTCAAATGATTCCAAAATGAGATCTGATTTTCAAGTGTAATTCTCCCAATTGCCTGCCTTGCTCCTTAATTTGTGTGGATTTTACATGAATGTCAGAGAAAGTTGAAATCTGTTGGAATTTTGTTTGACACTCTTTACTACAGCATTGGTAGCAGTCGTTGGTTTTCTTTTTATGGAAATGGCTTCACTGAAGAGGTACTGAGTTGAAGACCCAGCCATGGTGTGAAATTTTCCTTGAAAGCTTCTTTGTCTCAACTGCTGTGGTTTAAGCTCTATGAGGTGTTTCCTATGAAGCTTGGCCATTCCCTTCAGAACAGAACATTAAATAATTATAATTTTGAGGACATGTAATAAGGGTTCTTTGTCTGTGAATGACACTTGTTTAAAATGATTGCAGTAATGAAGTAGATAGCATTTTGCAGAGGTTGGTTTTTGAAAATTGATGTTATTTATAGATTTTCTTGACAGTGCAGAATTGTTCATGCAGATTTCATCTACTATGTCTGTTGAAACTACAGATATTAAAGGTTTCATTTGGGTTGGTTGAATGAGGAAAAGTGTTAAAACCTTTTTGTCAGGTTTGTGGGTATTTTGCAGAGATGAATTCTCGTTATGTAGTCTGTTCTCTGAAGGAGTGTGTCCACTGTTGATAAATCTGTTAATATTGAAATTTGTGATGGCTGTAGTTTGCACCTGGAGTCCCAAGATCACAAGTTTGCTGAATGGGATCAGTTTCATCATGTGTTAAAATGAAATAAGCTGTTTAACTGTAATACACATTTGGGAAGTGGGATGGTAGGGTAACTGTCAACAAGACTGAACTAGAGCAATGGTATTTAATCCAAACTTTTTCTTTGTGTTCCTCAGAAGGCAGGCTTTGTTGTTTGTTGTGGTGATATTCTGCAAGTTTTGTGTCTGATCTTCGAAGTTGAAATCTAACTAACTCAGCAAATTTACTTGTTTGCCTCTTTGAAAATAAACTTGCTTAAGTTGATGGGAGCACTAAAAATTTTTAGGTTTTGTTTGGTTTTTCGGAAATTAGTAATCTATGTCATTTAAAATAACTATTGTGATATGATCTGTATGAGACTGAATTTACACTCGCTGTATAAAGGTTCAATAAGCCAAACGTGTATATTAGAGAGAGAGACGTAATCTGTACCTGCTTTTCAGCAATACTCAGTTGTATCGCAAGAGCTGTAGGTCTTTCGGCCAGCAATCTCACCCAGCCGTCGAAGGTGTGAGTACGAAGTTAGTGCGCTGGCCGAAACGATCACGGCTCACGGAACGCTATTCGTAGATTGAGACCTTGTAAGTTGCCATATATGCAGTAATAAAAAAAAAGTCGAACATCGCAACTATTTTATTGAAGTATTTTGGTTTAACAGACATATCAAGTCAACTTGACTTTGTCCAATAAGCAAGTAAATAATGTACGTTGCGGTTTGAGAGAGAGAGTGAGCGGAAAGGCATGACTGTGTCTTTTTTGGTCTTGAAGGTTATTTGCTATCAAACAAATTATGATTTTCGTGTCTAAAGCAGAGGGTGCGAAATTAGGAATTAGCCTCTTGTTCTGATTGTTTGTTGAACCTTAATAAAACAAACCTGTATCCGCACATCACTGAGAGTGGCTTTGGATAATCTCAGATGTGAGATGTTAGTATCTTTTTAACTTCCTGTGAGTGAACATCCTCTAGAAAATCTCGGAGGCCTTTGAATTATATTTAAACTTGAGCAAGTTTCACATCGCTTTTCGTCACAACGTCGTCTCATTATTGGGGTGTCCTATTCAAGTTTCCGTTTGGTTGTCAAGCATATGTTGCATATCGATCCAAATGTTCAATGTTAGCTCTGGAAGCGGCCAATTGATATCAGTCATAGTTGTTGTTTACTGGTAGCTTTCCTAGGGCTTGGAGGTCCCTCCCAGCCTGGCTAATAGGTAGTTCTACCTACGAAAGTTCTCCAAAGGCCATTGAAGAAAGAGTAAACGGCACGGCCAATATAAAGAAGCAATGTCAAATTTATTGCAGGGTTGGTAACCATTTTTACAACGACGCGAAGATATTTGTGGAGATGAAAACCATTTTAATCCGTATTTGGTGTAGAAAATTTGACCTATTCTCTAAACTGCGTTATTATTCCTAAGACATATCATTGCTACATACAAATATCAATCTGTCAGATTATCCCATAAAATAAGAAATGTCCTCCTCGAATTCTCAAATGAAAATCATTCCTACGTCTTTCTCAGTTACCATCATTCCCTTCACTTGCACTTGTGACATTCTGTACTAGAAATGCGTGAGCTAACAGCGCTCAATGAAGCTTAAAAGAATGTTCTATTTTCAGGTAAGGGAATACCCCTGGCGGTAATAAGTTCTCAGAGTAGTTTCGAATTCCTTTGCCGCAAATTATTTAGACTTCGTCAATGTTAGATAGCATGGTTATCGCACAATATGTCATTTCAAATCGGTGTAATACTTCACAAAACATTAGTAACAGTCAAATTTGCGACTCTCCATTGCAGGCTTTTCTAGACGAAACGAGAGTAAACCACTCTAGATGTATAGAGTCGCAGCCTTAACCGTGACTGCGAGCTGTTTATAGAACTGGATGGTCTACTTGCTGTCTTGCTCGTAAACCATTATTTTTGTCTATAGAGCGTATTTCTGTGACGTCAGATTCCTATTATTACATTTGCTCTGACGTTATTGAGAAGAGGGACTTACGTCATCAGTGTCAACCTAACCAAATTCGTTACGGCAAATCGCGGAAGTTCATTGAAAAAGCAAGAAATGAGAAAAGGGGCTTTTTAGGAAAAATACTTTAAAGCAAATTTCTTGAACTATCGAATTTCTTTACCCACGAAATTGCGTGCACATAAAACTTGCAGTTTGATTGTTATATTGTACTCTGTATTGAGCAGTCTTTCTTGTGTCATAAAAGATTGAAAGATCTCACATTCCATTTTTGTTGCAAATGATGAACAATTGCAGGTTGGCGAGCTTATAGTCTTTCATTTCATTTGCTATATTAGGCGTTATTACACTGGACGTACGTTTATCAGTTCAACTATTTATTTCCGTTTCTTTGCTTGTTTGCTTTTGTGTATTATGATCATACAATTTTACCCTTCAAACAATACCGGAAGTTAAAATTACCGGAAATACGTTCCTCTCTTTTTTTTTTCTGCCGGGCAATATGTAGCTGTCACGTGACAATGTTGTCGCCCATATTGTTAGGGAAATATTTCTAGTAGAGACAGTAGCGAGTAATAACTCTTTGGTCAGCGAAATTTATCGCCTTTTGGGTTGTGTGTGATTGATGTTTAGAGAATATTCTTTGATGATTTGTGTGTACAGCTATGACTGAGCCTGTCTATCCGCGGAGAGGAATTTCCTTCCAATGCGGCTTGGCAAGGGAAACGTATGGATTTGAAGGAAAGGACATGTCGGCGTTAAGAGAACTGGCACATTCGTTCCTCGATCAAAAGGTATAATTAAGCTTATTTAATCGCCAGCATTTTGGTTTAACCACAGTTGCTCTCTTTTAGGGTTTATCCGTGAGAAATATAGCATCCAACTGCTGTTTATTTGACGTTTCTGTTACTTTTAATTCGGGGGAAAGAACAAGATTCGAGCATTCGGATCTTTAATTCTCAAGCTTATATTTTCTGCTGATCGCACAAGGAACAAATCTTTATCTTGGCTCGTAAAGTCACTCTTTAATATCACCGACTGCTTATTAGTCATCGAGTTCGCCGCCAACTACAGAAAATAGATGGTGACTTTGATGGTCAATAATTTTTTTGTTTTTATAGTTTATTTAACGGTTGCGAGCTCACAGGATGTAAAATGACAGTTTGTGTCCGTGTCTTTTAGAGGGCCCTTTTATTTAAATCGTGTTTTGTTTAAATATTCACCACGACAGACCGCATGGCCGATTATAGCATGTTTAGTGGTTGTATATCTCGATTTTCTCCGACCGCCCCTTGTTCGTGAGCGACAGTCGATAGCGAAAACAACGTGAAGAACCATCAACGACTATTTGCTGTCACGCGGCATGGGTCATTCATCCAAGACACTAAACCATTCTAGCGTACGGAGTAATATCTTTCGAAGTTTTTTTCGAAAATTAAAATCTGTGAATGAAAAATGAACAAGGGTCTCTCGGCTCAGAGTTTCCGTCAATTTAAACCGGTCTAAAGTGATCTTATCTGCAAGTGGTAATGTTCTTAGTTGTTAAAGTTTTCAAAGTTTGTGGACGGTTGTTCATATTGTTCAAGTGTAACTAGACTCTAAATCGCTATGTGTACAATTTTTCTATACCCCTGGTTAACGTCTAGCTTCATAAACCATTTTGCATCAACCAGATTCCTCTTTTTGGGAAATTGGCAAATTAGTGCAATGGATCGGTCATCAAAGAGACACGAAATAGGCGATGTCGATTTATGCTGTGTATCGGTGCGTTTGTCGCCACACCAGCGCCAATAACTTCCTGTTTTTTCCTTTAAGTTTTTTCTTTTAACTACGGGTTCTTCTCAGTTGAACAGTCATTAGATAGGTTCATTTGTCGTCGTAGATATTCAAATAACGTCGATATTGCCAATTCTGGAGGCGTTTTGTCGCGTGCACCTGCAAATGTCACATTTATAACCAAAAATATATTCAACATCAAAAGCTCGGTTCGATCACGAACTTCGCACGTATATGTCATTTCAACAGGCTTTGCTAGAGTTTGTATCGCTCTAAATTTTAATCAGAATGTTCGTCAAAGACCTGGAAATTAGGCAAGTTTGTTTATTTTCTCCTCTTTTGGTTTTTTTTTTTCTTATTGTTAAATCAAAGGAATAAAAACCCCGCTACTGTAGTTTGAGTGTTTAAGACAAATTTACTAAAACTAAACAATGCTTTTACTACTTCAAGTGTGAAAAAAATTCTTATTTGCTTATACTTGAAAGAAAATTTTTCCCTTTGATGCTGTATGTCAAATTCAGCAATTTGCAAATTGAAAATGATCTCATGAATGAATACCAGCTGTTTAGATTGAGCTTTGTTCTGTGAAAATTTACAAGCAGAAGAAGTAGGTAAATGCACACTATTGCATTTTCATTCTACTTGCATTATATCCTAGTGCACAATGAACTATTTTTAGGATCTGAAATTTGATATGTCAAGCATAAACAACTTAAGGCATTTCTTAAACTGGTTATGATCTTTCTTGAGTAAATTCCTGCTCCTGACGAACTATCACTGCTGGATCCTTAAGCATGACTGCAGTCAGCCTGTGTTTGAAGTACACATCTGTCATCTGTCAATATGAAAGGGTTTGTGTGTGGTATGATTGGGATAATGAACTTGAAAATCCAATTATCCTGATGTAAAATGGATTATTTTGACAAGTTTTTTTTTTTTGTCTTGAGTTTGGGTTACTTGTGTTAAAGAGTCAAGCGCATTATGTTATCTTCCCAATTTCATTGCAACTCTTTATTCTAAGTGGCAAATCAATTTTTTTTCACCCAAACAGTTCAATTTAAAACATCTTTTCTGTTGGCTTATTTTTCTCTACATTCTCTCAGTAAGATTTGATGAAGCCTGTCTTACAGGTGATACGGGCAACTGGTTGATTGCTAAGTGCTATTTTGGGGAGTTTTACTACACTTACCCAATTGATACATAATAAATTTACCATGAGAATGAAAACAAAATAGTAATGGCAGAGGCATTACACCAATAAACTGCAGTACTCTCCTGCTGTGCTCCTGTAGAAAATTTCTGGTGTCAAGTTCTGATGTGTTAGTAAATCAATAGAGTCCATATGCTCTGGCCTCTTCTCAGAGTTTAACAGATCAAGTTAAAATGGGCACTTAGAGGGGCCCAAAACATTTAGGTCAAAGAACATCAACAGTTTTATGATGATGATGATATTATTATTATTATTTGTAGTATCATTATAACTATGACTTTGGAGGGCCTTGAGCAAATAAGAACTTATAAAAATGATGACAAAAGAGTACGAACAGTTACCCTAGCTTGCAAGCTATTTAATGCTTATACTTTCCATGAGTGACCAAGACAGAATTTCTCCTTACAATATCAATACAATATCAAGTAGACAAGTGATGAGAATAAAGAAAAATCTTAACTAGGGGATCATTAGTTGATCCAATACCAAATTCTCCAAACTAACATCACAAGAACTATATAGCAGACAGTAAGGAGAATTACTAAAGAGATCTTGGGAGTTAAAAGGTTAGGCCTGCAAAATATGCCACAATGCCTGACAGAGTAATGATAATTCATGTTTTGTTCATGAGAGAAACACCCACAGTACTTCTCTTTCCACAATGTCCAGGAGGGTAAATACTGTAAGAAATTATCAAGGAAAACTGATTTAATATACAGGGGTTAGAGGGTCACCCTCAGTAGATCAGCATCCCATCAGTGTATGGAATTATATCTTTCGAAGCTTTTTCAAAAAGTAAAATCTGTGATTGAAAAATAAACAAGAGTCTCTTGGCTCATGATACAAAACAAACATATGCTTCAGTAGCAGAACAAAATAGGCTCAGGACTTTTTCAAAATTTAACTAATAATCTATTTTGATAATAACACTCATAGTGCATTGTGCTTATAACATTGTGCTTAATGTTGTGTGGGAAATTTTGGATCACAGACTGTTTTGTGTCATTTAGCTGTGTTTCTTTTCTCTTTATTTTTTTCCCAATCAGTTCCCAGACCACTCTTGCATTGGCATAGCAGACAAAGTGATCATGTTTATACATAACTATTCCACAACTAACATATTGGAGAAGTTAACCAGCGTGGACCAGTTGCATGAAGGCTCTGTTATTGAAGTTGTTGTTTCAGGTATGTCAGCTTAAAAACTGGGTTTGCTGCCAAGAGAAAATGTTTCACTCTAATTACTTACATGTGAAATATGATTATGTTATTTCCCCAGCAAGAGGTCTATATGGGTTTATAAGTGGTCAGTGGGTGGGTGTGATGCAAATTGGAGAAATTGACATCTTAGAAAATTATGATGTTATGTATTCCAGGCATGAACAGCATTGTTTGAATCAGACCATGACCAGGAAGAAATTAGGATAAAGTTAATTAAGTTGACAAGATGAAATTTTTCTTAGTTTTGCCTTAATACACTTGTCACCATAACTGGTTTAGTTTTAAGGGGACAAACTTACGGCAGAGAAGAGGGTGGGGATGGGGAGGCACTTTTAAGGATGGAGTGTTAATGGTACATGAGATGGGAGTCTCTGATATTTCAATTATGTTTTAAATTCTCTAAATTTTGAAGTTAAATGGAATAAATGTCAATAATGGCAAATAATGTGTTGATTATTATCATTATGATAATAATTCCTTTTATCTTTTTTCAGTGTTTTGAATAATTTTCTTCTTTGTTCATTTTTTTTTTTTTTTTTCAGCTAAAGTCCCAGCAGATGAGACCATTATTCGTCCTCACATGCTGATTGTTCATTCGTACAGATCTCCAACATTTTGTGACTTTTGTGGTGAAATGTTGTTTGGCCTTGTAAGACAAGGAATCAAATGTGAAGGTACAATCTCTAGTTATTATTGATATGGTACTCTTTCATTCTCAGGATCTAAAAATGGATTCTTGCAACAGAAGTCCCTACATTTCTTTGATAAATGCTGACCAAAATCTGGACTTTTATCAAGATAACATCTGCTTGATCTGTTCTGTATACAGCTTTTTATATCAGTGCCTAATTACTTGACATTGTAATAACATTTTAATGAGAAATGAACACATGGTAACCTCTGAAAGTGAAAGACTTTCTGTTTGTCAAACAATTTTCAGAACTATGACTTTGTCACTCCTTCCTCCCCCTCCCCCTCCCCCCACCCCACCCCCATATGAAAATGTTTGTTTCTCTCTAGCTTAAATCACATCACTTAGAAATGAAAAGGTCACCATTTTGTTAATGATCATACGCTGTATTGACAACTTTAGCTACAAATTTATTCCTTTTAAAAATATTTCTCTACTTACCATGGCAAACCATACAGTAGCAGCTGCATGAGCATGTTTCTTTACTTGGTCATGTTCGGTAAAAAGGATATTGTAAGAAAATGGAAGACTTTGAAAAAGAGCAAGGACTGTTACGTTTACTTTCACAGGATGTGGTGGTAACTATCACAAGAAATGTGCATTCAAGATACCAAATAATTGTTCAGATTCAAGACATCGCAACAGTGCTTCTGGATTAAACATGGCTCTGCATTCACATACTCTTCCGAGGCCAGCTTCTCAGATCAGTGGCCCAAATGATTCAGCATTCTTGATCCAGCACTCCAATTCCTTTTCCGAGAGCCTTCCATCATCAAGAGACAGAAGGGCAACTTGGAGTGGTCGTCCAATCTGGATTGACAGAATGCTGTCTGGTAGAGTCCAATTACAAATACCTCACTCATTCGAGGTTCATTCCTATAAAAAGCCTACAGTGTGCCACTTTTGCAAAAAACTGGTAGGAAAAATGACTTTGTGATAAATCATAGGGTTCCTTTAAAACTACATTATGTTCAAAATTAGCACTCCTTAGACCATAGAGGCTGGTTGCTTTTGACCAGTAGCAGACTAGAGAAGTTGTCTTAAAAGTTTTAAAGTAATACTTAAAGGAAACTCTAATCATGGTAAAGCAAGTTGTTGTTAAAATGATGGAAATGAAGAATTGTCCATAGAAGATTCAATATTCATTTCCATTTATGAAAACAAGTTGTAACTTTAAAGGTTATTTTAGACAATTAGGACTGCCTATTGAGATAAGGTGCTTGTAAGCAAAGTTACATTCATTGGATGCTTACACGTGAGTTATTGTTATTGGCAAGATCCAACATTGGCTATTTATTGTCTTTTCACAGTTAAAGGGCCTATTCCGTCAAGGGTTACAGTGTAAAGGTAAGGGATAAATTCATTCCGCATGTTATATTTTGTGAATATTAAGATTGTGTATTGATGAAGATAGGAATTCAAAGTAAGAAATGTAAAGAAAAAGGAAATCTGAATGCTCCTTGTTGAGTGCTCCAAACAAAGGTCAAGCCTGTGAGCAAACCAATAGCTGCTGTTGGTGGCAAAAGTGGTTGGGAAACTGAATTAAATAACATTTAGATGGGGAAGCAAACATCTATACGGGCATGTAAAACTTAGTATCCCTAGACATATTTCTACTGATTAAAGCTTTTGTGGATGTTCAACTTGAGTCTTGTATTCCTCTTTGTGATCCTTTGAATAAAATTGACATGAGCAATTGAAAGTCAATATTGCTTTTCTTCTTTTGAATAATTGCAGATTGTAAATATAACTGCCATCGAAAGTGTGAGAAGTTTGTTGGCAAGACTTGTTTGGGTGAGGGAGCAATGGTAGAAACAGGTAAATAAAAAATAAGTGACTCTGATAATTTAAGTTTTACATGAAAACAAATGTAAACAGTGGTTGTTTTTTTAATTCTGTGGATCCCTAGGTCTGAAATTTCCTCCCCCTACCAATACCATATATTCCTTCTAAGTTTTAACCCATCAGCTTTCAAGATCTGATTGATAATTCTCCCCTCTAGCTGCTACACATTTCCTTGTAAATTAGTTATGAGAATTTGTGGTAAGATCAAGATATCAACTTCTACCTGATAAGTTTTTGTATTCTCATTAATTGTTTGCTGGATAATGTAGGAATATTGTAAGGAGAGGTTACATGTTAATCACTTCTGGGAGTTAAAGGGTTTTAAAACCCTTAAACTCTAAATAAGTTAAAATTATCATTATCCAACCAAAGATACAACCAAGAATTTTTCATGCTGCAGGGTCTCTTGGATCTTCTGATTCAGGTGCCATTTCTGAAAGTTTGTCAGAAATGGATCTTTCAAATGACATTCCAAATGAACAAGAGTTAAGTGAGAACGAAACAGAAATTGAATTAGCAAGTCGCAGCAGCCAAGAGGACTTTGAACCAACTAGTCCCTCATCACCAGACAGTGAGTTGCCTCAGCTGACTCCTACAATTAGTAACAACATTCCACTCCAACGGATTGTTGTATCTGTGAAGCATACCAAAAGAAAAGGATCAAAAGTGTTGAAGCAGGGATGGATGGTGCATTTTACTAGCAAGGATACTCAGGTGTGGCATATGTTTTGTTGTCATTTACCCTTTCACCCCCATCAGTGACCACGAGAGAATTTCTCCTTACAATATCAATACAATATCAAGCAGACAAGTGATGAGAATAAAGAAAGATATCAATTTGGGGATTATCAGTTGGTCCAATACCAAATTCTCTAGACTAAAATCACAAGAATTGTACAGGAGACAGTAATGAAAATTTTTTTGAAGTCTAGGGACTTAAAGGGTTATTGTGCTGTGTCAATTCTGTTCTAAGTATTGCACTATATTTGTGCCAAACTAACTTTGTTCATTAATTTCAAGTTGAGCATGTTGGTGTAGCATGACATTCAAAACTATTCACTCCTCAGGGATCAATTTAAGGTTAGCTTGAGTTCTTACCACAGCAGGCTCCTCCATGCAGCACAACCATAGGACAACTTTGTTTCAAATGACGTGCATTTGTTGTCTATGCCAAATTGACCTTAAATGTACATGTGTGCATGAGACCATGACTAATTCTTATCTCTGAGCTCATATTCAAACAAGGTGTTTTAAGAACTATGAACAGTGTGTTCATTTCAAGTTTTTTTTTTTTTACTCTTTGGCTACGACTTTGTCCAGTGAATTCAGTGTGTCAATTCTTTTTTACTGATTTCTTAAATGAAGTTATAATTTTAAATTTGGTTTTTAGAGGAAAAGACACTACTGGAGACTAGACACAAAGTGTTTGACACTATTCCAAGATTCAACTAGCAGTAGATATTACAAGGTTTGTTCTTTTTTAAGTTTTATTATTTTATGATGAATATCAGTTGGTGATGGCACAGATTCATTAGTTAACAAAACAGGGTGGCAAATTATTCTTCCAAAAGTTTTGAAACATCAAGAATCATAAATTTAAAATACTTGTCGGTTTTGATTAGAAGTCAAGTTTGCTGAAAATGCAAAAAGTCTCCTCTTTTAAAATCACTTGCTCAGCATAATTATAAACCTACAAAGCCCAATTTAAACTTCTGATTTTTCTCATGAAGTTAGCTTTCCAGTGCTAAGGCGAAGAGGATATTGTTGCTGTGAACAATGAAATCGATTCACTGCACCTTTGACTTATCTGATAATTCTTGATCAAACATGGCAGAAACAAAATAGTGAATTAATACATTAATTTTACATCGTGTAGCTCCAGCTTTCCTCAGGGCTGGTAGTCCTCGTAAAACACCACATTTTGTATAATAATGATAATCAGTTAGTTCATGACATTCTAGGTTATATTTTTTATCTTCTTCCATCTCTCACAGGATATTCAACTGTCTGAAATACTGTCAGTTGATTCTAATATTGACCCTCTGGCGACAGACGCCACTCGAGCTCCGCACTGTTTTGAAATGAAGACAAGGGACATGGTGTACTACGTGGGGCAAGTTGAAGACGAAAACGAGACCCCAGACCCTGACAGTGGAGTAGGAGCAGTGGCGGGGCAGGCCTGGGCTAGTGTCACGCGCTCTGCTCTTATGCCAGGTTGTGTGACACCGACCACGAGTGTTTGCCCCTCAAGCAACAACGGTGAGTCTACGTCACTCTACTTCGTTGCCCAATTTCCAACAAGTGCAGATTGTAGAAATTTGGCTGTAATTTTAAACAGCGGACATAAGTTATAAGCAATACGCAGAGATGTTGTGACTTTTGTCTTTTCACTCACCTAGCAAAGTAAATCGTAACTTGATTTCAAAGTATTACTTTGCGAAGAGCACCGTGGTAACAACTGATAATCTAAGTATGGGCAAGAATAAAACGGACTTAAAAAAAAACTTTCATTTCTACGCTAAAATTTTCAAGAAGCGCTAAGAGTAGCACAGCTCCTTAACTTGAGGACGAGTTGCTTGAAACCTTGGGAGGCGATTTTTCTCAGTAGATGTCGTTATCCATACACAAGATAACCTCAAGTAATGTTGGATTTGAATGCTTTTGCCTCAGTACGATTTAATTGGTCAAGGAAACTCGCGCCTCCCCCTGGACGACTCGACCAATCAGATCCAAAACCAATGGCAACTTGATCACTCGCGTTTTCCCGCGCTTTAGGCGGTTTGCCTGTTTTCGCTTGAGTTCTCATTGGTTCCTTGTGATATTTTCCTTGTTCCGATAGGCTGAAGTGATTACTTTGCGTTTGGTTTTACGATGCTCGAAGGAAATGCGCTCTTACAAAGGGTATGATGTAATTATAATGATCTGCTCTCAGTTAGCACTAAACTTTCCATTGTGTTTAGGTGTTAGTAATTCTGACGTAGAGATGGAAGTTACAGACGAAGAGGAGAAAGTGAAAGATGCTCCATTGGTTTGTAAAATGTTTCTTGGTCACGCACTCCTTACTTAGCGTATAGCAACAAGCAATCAACAACAATCTTTTATTTCAGCTCTTAAATTATGCGAAATAGTTGCATTTTGTTCTTATTTTTACATACTTGATTAGATAAGAACTTTTTTCGTTTCTCTTTTGAAGGACATTAGTCAACTGTACCAAGTATTCCCTGACGAAATTCTCGGATCAGGACAGTTTGGAATTGTCTATGGAGGTATGTGTTTTAATTAGGTTTTCATTAGCGGCGTAGTTCGTTTGTGACAAACTCTGAGGTACTGATGCATAGAAAAGGTTATCTTCAGCTTTTAGTAACCCGTATAGTTACCCACCGAGCCATTCATTTCGTATTAAACAGAAAAAATCAGTCAACTTTTGTACATGTCAAGTAAGATTGAGCACTCAGATCCCTGACCCCAGTCACTATTTTGAATGTATTTGGAGGTAGGAAATAATCTTCCAAAGTTTTGTTACCAAGTCGAATTCCTGACGTGAACCTTATGCTCTCGAGGAAGTACTGTCCTCGAATAAACGGTGCCCCTAATAAGCAGAATGCAGCGGTTATCTGAGGAATAAAAGATAATAAAACAATTTTGGTATAACTCAATAATTTACACCAACCTTACAAATCTTTTTAAGAAAGCGAGACAGTGGATTTTTTTTTTGTAAAACTAACAGGGGTTCATCGTGAAAGTGGACGAGATGTAGCTATTAAAGTCATTGACAAACAACGCTTTCCTACAAAACAAGAAGCGCAATTGAAAAATGAAGTAGGAATTCTTCAGGTGTGTAATACGCTACTTTTCTCATTGTCTGTGCTTTCCCTTTTTATTGTTGCCAATTTTTAAAATTTTTTCAAAGGTGCTTGCATTAAAAAGATTACGCCCTAGATCATTTTGGAGAGTATAGCCAGAACCTTCGTTATTTAGCGTGCCGTATGAAAAGTTTTCATTAATGAAGTTACTTTTTTTATTCATCTTATTTTCCTTAGCATGTCAACCACCCAGGTGTAGTGAATTTAGAAGAGATGTTTGAAACTCCTGAAAGGGTAAGTACAGCTAGAAAGAGAGCGGATTAAACCAACACCAAGAAACCTCAGCCAACCAGAACTTTAAGTAAAAACAAGTAAACTACGCGAAGCGCGGGAAAAAACGCGGGTGACCAAGTGCATCGCGAGTGTTTTTTTGACCAATCACAGTGCGAAGCAAAAAACAAAGCAATCCCAGAGTTTTTCCGAGACTCAAATGAAAACCTTGCTTCAATTGTGGGTAACTTATTTCGGTTGCCGCTTCTGTTGCTCACTCTATGAATTTCACAAGGAGGAATAAAATGGGTTTCAGTGTAACGGAAAAAGCATCAGTTTACAAATAGGTGCTGTTTGGCTCTCTAGGAGAGTGCTCGTCGATTCTCGTGTCATCAAAACAGGCTTTTTACTCATCAGTCGAAGGAATTCAAGGAGCGGAGTCTGGGGATTGTGGATCATTGCTTTCCGTGTTGAAAATTCCTTTTGAAACAGAATGATAACTTATATATTTCCTTAGCTCCGATTGGAGCATAGGCCATTAACCACTTCCGTCCTCCATCGGGTT